AAAAAATTCAAAGAAAATGATAAAAACTTCAAAAAATAAAATCCTTCGAGAGGTAGTTATATTACTACATCTACTAGTTAGGAAAATTTAAAAACTTAAATTTGGACATGTTTTGCAAAAAATGTAGGGAATTCTACGGCCTGTTTGCAAATTTTTAGAATCCTCAAATTCTAAAAGGAAAAAAAGTTATGCTCAAATTTCAGTTTTTTTTATTTTTTGTTAAATCTGGTCAAACTACTTATTCAAGAAGTATTAGTGTTACTAAATAATTATTCAAGAATATTAGTGTTACTAAATAATTATTTCAGTTTTTTTGAATTTTGGTCAACTATGGTCAAATTACTTATTCAAGAAATATTAGTGTTACTAAATAATTATTTCAGTTTTTTGAATTTTGGTCAAATCTGGTCAAACTGTGGTCAAACTGTGGTCAAACTAGGGTCAAACTGTGGCCAAACTACTTATTCAAGAAATATTAGTGTTACTAAATAATTATTGATTTTTAGAACAATAGTTTCAAACTCAAACAGTGAAATGTGTGACTTCATGCTCAAGCTAAATTCCTGAGGGTTAATAGGATTGACATCTTACTATTGTCAGGAAAACAACGAGTGCATACTTGGAAACGAGGGAGAATAAAACTCGAAAGTTAAGCATGCTCAGGCTGGAGTAGTGAGAGGATGGGTGACCGTTCGGGAAGTTAGATGATTTGGAATGATGAGGGGTGATTAGAGATTAAAGGTTATTGAGCAGTGATGAGGGGTGATTAGAGATTAGAGGTTAAAATAATTCAGAAATTTGAAATTCAAAAAAAATTCTAAAAAAAGTTTCAAAAAAATCATAAAATTTCCTTTAGTACCGGTTGGTGTTACCAGCCGGGACTAAAGGTGGATCTCCAGGCAGCGGCCACGTGGAGGGCCTTTAGTTCCGGTTCCAGTAAGAACCGGGACCCTTATGAACCGAGACTAAAGGCCCTTTTTCTACTAGTGATCATGCATGGATAGGTATGTCATGCACCATGGGCCAGGGTGCCTATATATATATATAGACACACACACATATGAAGTTCGATGATGGAATGTTCGGAACATTAAAAGGTTCAAGTAGTTTGAATATACTTGCATAGTTTTAAATAGCCGGCTATAGCCTATAGCTCCGCTATAGCTGTTTGAGCATTTTGCCACTAAATGATTTCATGTATAATTTGCTGCTATAGCCTCGCTATAGCCCAGCTATAGAGGGTTGCCGCTATATGCCATAGCCCGCTATTTAAAACATTTTGCAGCACATATAACTATTCCAACAATATTTAGGCATTTTTATCCAAGTTAATACGATATATGCATGCAGAAATGGCATGGCGCAACCCACAGCAACGTAGATCAATATCAATCAATACTATGTGGCAACAAATGGCACATAAAGGAAGAAACGTGTGAGATGCACCATAGAGAGAGGAGCTACGATCGAAGCCTCGCGTACCTTTGGCAGGGATATACACGATGCCGCTCCCGGTGGCACCATCCATGCCGGGATTATACCTCCGGACTATGTCCATCTGCTCCGGCGACGAGAGGTCACGAGTTGCGGCGACGGAGGCGAGCGTCTCCCAGTCCCTTAGCGGGAATGTGCGGAAGAGCCCGTAATCCGTGGAGATCCCGGCGTCGCCGCAGGAGCAGTTGACGGTGACCTGGATGGTGGCGCCGTCGGGGATGCTGTTGGGCGGGTAGGTATTGGTGGCCTGCAGCCAGTCGGCGGTGGTGAGGTTGATGTAGTTGCTGGCGATGCTGGCGTAGGTTTCTCCCGTGACGACTTTGTAGGGGATGGAGGCGGCGAGGTAGGTGGAGGCCGGGTCGGAGGGCCGCGCGAGGCACTCGCAGGGGAAGGGGACGTCGACGCGGTACCCGGCGGCGGCGACGTCGTCTAGATTGGGGAGCCCGGGGTTATACTTGGCGAGCAGTCGGTAGTCGGTGAAGCCGAAGAGCGAAGCGATGTAGGTGATGTTCGTGTTCTTCGTGACGTAGTAGGAGCCCAGCACGAGGTCGCAGCCCGCGCTGCAGCCGTCCCCGGCCGCGGTGGCCATGTTGGAGGCTAGGAGGAGGAGCAGCAGGAATGGTAGGAGAAGAGGCGGCGGAGCTTCCATGGCGCGGGTAGAGCTGAAGCAGAACGTGGAAGCTTGGCACCCTTTGAGACAAGAGTCTGTAGACACGCTCACGCGTTGGGACTTGGGAGGTGGTGGACTCGGTCGTATGTTTTATGGCCGTGTGCACCGATTCAACAAAACTAGTAAGGGAGGGTGTCATTTCGGGAAGGTCAAATATGTTGTTTTCTTCTTTTTCTTTTCAACAAAGGCTGTTCGTCCCTAGCTGGTGATGGTGACACTACTAGCTAGCTTCTGGGAGGATTCATGCATATCTCTTACTAGTCAGCAATATCCTTCCAACACGCACAAGTGCTGGCAGGGACACCATTGAACATTATTGACTTTTGATGGACTTTATCCTCATATAGGTGGCCTGCTTGGCTTCACCCCACCCCCCATTTTTTTTAATTTTTGACTTTTGCTGGACTTCACCCACAAATAACTTTAGATGTAACGCTCTTATATTTCTTTACGAAGGGAGTAGTTTACAATTTACCACTACCTATACTAGTTAGATGGCTCTGTTGTGTTCAGGGCATAAAGAACAAATGCTGTGAAGTGAAGCGAACTATATATACTAGTAAGCGTGCACGAGCAACGCATGCTGAAATGTTGATCAAATACTTCACATGTTACAAAATAGAAAGTGTTTCTTGCAAAATACAAATGAAACTCATACAGAAGGACATGTCATTCAAATTGTATTTTCAGAAATGAGACTCCATCAGTACGTGAAGTCAAATATTTAGGAACGGAGGGAGTAACTGATACTAGCACAAATATTCAGTACGTGAAGTCAGCGGAGTTCTGATCATGATCCAAATCAAACCAGACCAAACCAAACCAAATGAACCAACAATATAATTGACTGCATTTGTAACCAGCAACTTCTACAAGCATAAAACTTGCATGTCTTATAGAAAAAATAGCCCAGCTTTCACAAATGAACTTTGTAACACAAGAATGATATTGTATAGTGTACCCAGTAAAAAAACACAAATACAACAATCTCAAAAATAGATAGGTGCTGCTAAGATAGTTGCTTGCTATTCATGAGTGTCGAAATTATATTGTTGAATGCAAAAAATGAAGAATCTCATGTTCTCGGCACAACTTTATTTTTACTCACCACTAGAGGAAAGCTACAGCTACAAGGAGGTTTGTTGTTACACACCATACATCACTGTCCTGGTCCCTGGCGTCAAGCAGAATCATGGTGATATCCATGGTTGCATCTCGTAGAAACTGTCCTAGCACAGCATCAAATAAACACAACTCATTTTGTTATCAAATAATTAACCACAACATAACATGAATATGACAAAAGAAGAGATGGTCGTTGTGAAGGAGCAGACAAAGAACAAATTCTACAAATAGTGCTATTGGAGCAACATCAGAGAGTCCAAATCCCATGAGATTATCACAAAGGAATTTGAATGCCCAGAACACAAAGAGTCACAATGCCGCATAAAAATCAAGGAAACTCGTAGCTGGAAAAGAAAACTTGTTGAGCCAGAGAAGACGAGACTTCACAATCTACATAAAGATCAAAATGCATGCCAGAGGATTCAACATCTTCGAGATATTCGAAACGGGAAGAAAGAAATGGCTCATGTCGACCATGTTTAGAGCATGCAGTCTCTAGTACATGTTGACTACTCATAAAGTTGCAATAGCACTCTTTGTTCCTTGGCATAAATTAATTGGAATTTTTTGCATTATTAGATGTACTCGATGTTTGTACTCAAAAAAATTCAGTCATTTGTAGTGTTTATTAATGAAGTGCGTGATGTTCACTTCTGAAGCAAAAATGGTGCTACCTTTTGGTTGCATGTAGCCTGAACCAGAGCAAAAGAGGTGCTACAGTCTACATATTGGATACACTCGCTGTACACATCTGTATGTTTGTCTATCACCCACCAAAGTGTGATACATTTCAGAGGTGGGTTCCCACTTGATCCCAGTGCGTTGGAATTAAGTGGGATGTGGTGGGACGCCCACTATCAGTCCCAGCTGCAGCCTGAATCCACTCTCTCAGGCTCCTCTTCGGGCTGGTGCCAGCACTGAAACTAAATCCAGCTTGAGACACCGACGGAACAGAGTGTGCTTTGAAAACGAAACACTTCCGGGTTCAGATAACCAATGGCTCAGATTTATCCGAGCACAAGCTAGCAGATCAACGGCGGACAAGCACCTATGGTTACTGTCTTCATACTGTTATAAAACATGAACGTTCGATCCCCACATACCCCATCCGAACGAGATGTTCTGTAAGAGGAAGGCACTCGCCAAAATGAAAACGTTTGAAGGCATATAAACTGTAAGGGCAATTATGTTCACTTTTGTTGTTCGTATGCAATCTGAATGGAGGGTGCCCTGCAAAAAGAACAAACAACAGAACCAGGTCCTCCATGTGCATTTGAGTATAATAAACTTGTACAAATGAACCACAAGATAAAAACAAATAACATCCTAGATTTCTAGCAACATAATTACCATCGAAAGTCACGCAATCTCCTATTCAGTTTGTTGTGAATAGGGTTCACCTCCTCTTTAGCCACCTTCTCTTCGTGGCGTGTTTCATGGGCATAAGAAATTCTTCCCTCTGCGACAGCGATTTGCTACTGCTTTTCTCCCCAGGTAACCTTTGAATTTGATTCACAAAAAGTTTTAATAGGTTTTGTTTTATTGGTTATTTAATTCCATACTTGAAATTATGTATTAGATTTATAATATTGCTCTAAAATTCTTTGAATTAATTGTATAAAATCCATAATATTATATTAAGAATACAATTGGTTATTACATAATATTATATTAAGAATACAATTGGTTATATTAAGAATACAACTGGCTCACTCGGCTCCCTCGGCTGAGGAGGTAGCCCGAGCCCTCGCCCGATCCCCTTTCTCCACCACCGGCCGCCGCCGACCAATCCCGGCCACCTCCGGCACGCTCCGCCGCCGTGCTGCACCCCCACATCTCCCCCTTGAGCCGCTCCACTCGCTCCATGGAGGAGGCATCGGCGGCGCCGGCACTGGTCGGAGGGGTCAGGGTCGTCGCCAGGATCTGCCCCCCTGCTGCCGTGGCGGCGACCGCACCAGCTTCTACCGCCGGGACTTTCTTCTTCCAGGTCGCCGCCGCGGCCGCAGCTCCTCCCACTTGTACCCGGCCGTCTTCGTCGCAAGGGTAATTGGATTCCCTCAGTTTCCATTTCATCCTGTCATCAATTCCTTCCCGACTCAAGGACAATTTTTTAACAACACCATCAATGGTAGCCGGTGGCGTCGTTTCAGATTATCTGACGATGCTTTCGCAATTTTGATCTGTCAGCGTCAGTCAAACCCCAACCATGTGTGTGTATGTTGGGTTTAACTAGGGTTTATCATCGCAGTTTGCTTCTCTTTTCAGTGTACTTACATGGTCAGCCAGCTCAAATCTTGATTGCAGTTCAGTGTTCAGCGTTTAGCTTTTTTTGCCCCTCACAGAGCAAAATACCCGAGTTGTACCGAGCTTTGGTTGCACAAGTGTTTTAGATCCGGGAACCACTGGGTTGCCATCCGGCAGTTTATATTTGTTTCAGGATGGTACATGAAGATGCGCGATTATCTAAAAAGTTTTTCTACTGCTGTTAAATTTCACTTTCATTTCTGAATTCATTTCACAATTTGGCTGGGCGTCTTATTGACGTTCTTGAATGACTCACAATTTGGCTGGTAGAACAGAGCAGTCGGTTCGTTTCATTTTCAGTAGTTTTATTGTTTCAGCAGCCACAGTTGTCGCCTCTGTTGGGTTGTATCACTAAGAAAACCTCATCTGAGAAATGGGCCATCAAACTTAACATTCAGCTAGCACTCTAGCAGCAATCCACAGTACGGTGTTGGCGTTTCTTGGATAATGAACAAACATCACTGGAGTTATGTGAAGCTGTATTGTTATTCAACCAACAGCCTTAACATTCAGCTGGCAATTTAGCACAGAAAGGTTCATATTAAGGTTTTTCTTCTTGTTGTTTTACATGCAGGCAGCCTCAGCCTGTTACTCTGGATGGATAGCTGAGAAAAAACACTTAGGAGAAATACTAGTGGCTGGGGGCCACCAGGATGGAGCCGCTTGAGGCGTGATGGTGGGGTGCCTGATTTGTTGCTGCCCATTCAGCTGGCTTGTTTGGTCCATGTTGTGTACATGATCATTTCTAGAAGGCTTAGCAGATAAATCATATTTATATGCATCAGTAAGTCATATGAATAAGTTTTCAGAAATGATCAAGTTATACAAGCTGAAGTTCATCACAGATTGATATGTCTTAGGGAAGCAAGCACCTGGTTACTTAGTGCACATTTATAGAGGACGTTAGGCATGTGTTGCAGCCGAGAAATTATAAGTTCAGATCACAAGGAAGTGAAATTCTCCCCCATTTTAAGCTCCCCCTCGCGTCGCCTCCCCTCGGGCGGCGCCAGGGGCCCCGAAACCCTAGCGCCGCCAGCACCTCCTGCCGCCGGCGTGGGCCGCGGTGGCGGCGGGCCCGGTGCCAAAGGGTACTGGGCGGGTGGATGTGGCGGATCCCATCTGAGGCGGCGGGGCGGCCCTTCTCATGTGATCCAATGGCGGCGGCTAGGACGGAGAATCCGGGCTGTGCGGCGGGGGCCGGAGCACCATCGCCGGCAGAGCGGCGGCCCTGCATGGACGGCGGCGGTGGCAGCGCCCCATCCGGCGGAGTGGACTGTCCTGGTCGTGATGGTGACGGCGGTTACTGCGGATCCAACGCCCCGTTTGGATCCGTCGCGGGGAGGCCTTCCGCCGACCGGCGGCGCGTGGAGGGACCGGTGAGAAGATGCCGGATCTCCGCCGGAGTACCGACGGCGACATACGTCTTCGTGGCGAGGTTCCGCTCGATTCCAGCCAGCCACGAGGTCGGGAAGATGTGGCTTCCGTTGAAAATCGCGCCTGACTGCTGTCTTGGCGGACGATGGCGGCGTCTCAGACGTCGTTTCCTTCTG